AAAGGGTGAAGCACAAAAAATCGAACAATTGATGAAAGTGAGTCAAACATGAAGTATACTTATAATAAGAAAAATCAATTGTTCATCAAAAAAAGATTTGCTTTTTCTTTTATATTCGTTTTTATTAATTCTTTTTTTTTACTAAGGTATTTGGACAACGTTATTCTATAACAAATCCATCATCGTCACCATCGAATGTTGATACTATATTTATATTAGCTTTTGCTATTATTATGTTAAATACTGATTTACATAGTCGAAATATAAAATCTGAGAAAAAAATGCGTTTAGAACAATTTATTAAAAATCTTCGAGGTAAAAATATATTCATTTGTATATATATATGTATAACTAAATCAGAAAGAAATCTGGAATTTGATAGGAACATTTTTCTTTCTATATGGGCATGTGACGATTGCTTATGTATATATAGTAAATGTCGATTTTTTTTCCTAATGTAAATATGCACAGTAGGGGAACATAATGAATCTTTTACCATTACTGCAGGCTATTAGTTGTCGTAGAAAGGAAAACGAACGACACTGATTGCCAATTTGTCACATTTTTTTTTTTACTTTTTCTATTTGTTTGCCTGCTTACAAACACGCTTATGATGAGAAGGATTATACTATAAGAAGAAGTTTTCTTTAACTTCTTTCTCTGTGTCTCGTTTACTTTTTCTTGACGTTTACATTTCCATGGTCGCAAGAAAAATTTATGTGGTATTTTCTTTTATGTGGATGTGTGCATATTCTGTATATTATTTGCGTGTCAGATTAATTTGTCGGCGTGTGAGCCGAAATGGATCGGAGAACAAGTGAATGTAAACCTCGATAAATCTTATGTTGATAGTGTTAGTAAAGATAGTTACAATATAAGTCTTTTCGATTTCTTCTTTAATGAGCCACGCAAATCCAACACATGCACCCTGATCGGATGGAAACTGGAATGTGCGCATCGATAGATAATCGAAAGGACAACATAGAGAATCATGCGTAAATACATTCAACAGAGTCTAAACTCGTTTGCTCATTTTATATATATTTATATATATATATATAGAACACAACTAGACAAGAATCAATTAGGAAACGTTTCTTCAAGTAAACAGCACTACTACCATACAAATTGACCATCTGCGAGCATCAAACAGAAAAAGAGAGAGAGCGAGAAAAGAAAAAAACGATGTTGTTGAGGCAATCCATATGAAGACTCGTCTTCTTCTGATTCTTTCTTTTTTTTCTTCTAACCGACTGATGTCTTTACTATTACTACATTTATATTATGCTTGTTGATAAATGAATCTTCAATACGTCGAATGTCACATAGATGTTCTCACAATATATATGTATACAAATAAGAACAAAAAAAAAGAATTTAACAACTATATAAGTCACTCAAAAAAGATCTTTTACTCTATTAAGCACTGTTATTCTACGACTAATTATGATAAGAATAGTCATCGTCTTCTTTTCTTTTTTATCTTTATCTTTTATTACATGTCTTTAAATTCAAATGAGATGTGCATGTTACATATACACTAGAGCATTATTGTATGTTGTCATCGATGATAATGGACATTGTGTTAACGAAGCGAAGCGAAATAGAGAAAAAGAAGAAGAAAAAAAGAAAGAAAAAGATGAAACAGATTAAAGAACATTGAACTAATGTGAATATAAAACGAAGCCTTTGTCATTCGAGTTCATTATTCCGATGCACTATCGTTAAAATGACATGAATAGAAAAACTAGAGTCATGACAGTAAATTATGGAAAACAACACAAGAACGAAAAGGCATGGATGAAATGATCTTTATATGTTGCTTTTTTTCTTTCTTTGTTTTTTCATATTTCCGATAGATTCATATAGGGTTTCACTTTGTATGCAAACGCATCTACTAGTAAAACTGACATGATTAGTGCATTCCAATGGTGACAGTCGAAATTTAATTTTGTCGATTCTTTTTCTTTTTCTTTCTTGCCTCTTCAATTAATTCACTATAATGTATTGAGAACTTGAACTATTGACATTACAGTACAGATTAATCTAATGATTTCTTTTTCTTGTTCTTTTTTTTTTTAGTATGAGAATAATTTTTTGATAAAGATCTTACTATTGGACCATATAGTTGCATACTAATTTGCGTCTCTCTCTTGCTCTTTCTTTTTTTGCGTTGTTTTTTTTTTCTTTTCTGACATTAGAATAAAAAATAAGCAAAATGTGAAATAGACAACATTAGAAGATAATTAAAAACGTATTTTAATCAAAATCGATGCACACGTCATATTTTACAAGTAAATACCATGAATTTTTTGACAGACAAATTTTTCTTTTTTTTCCTTTGTTGTCTAACTTAATCAAAATGTTCAATCTCGTTTTGTTGATCAAAGAAAAACTTTCATATATGTTTGTATATGTGTGTGTGTAAAAGTGGAAGAGAGGAAAAAAGAAAGTACGAGAAAATCAGATCATATGGTTTTTCTTTTCAAACTGAGAGAAAACACCCGACACTACCGTTGTTTGAGAAATAACTTTTACTTTGTCTTTTTTTTTGTAGATTTTTCATTCGCTTTACTGTAATAATGAGACAAGGAAAGTGAGGGAGAACCGATTTCCGCTTTCTGCACAATCCAACACTCGTTCGTTATAGACAAGTCGAGAAAAATGCTTTTATAAGAACGAGCGTTCACTCACTTATTCACTCACTCTCACTCATCTACTTCTTCTCATCATCATTCTTGTCAAGGTCTTTTCGCTTGTTGACTGCTAGTATATACACTCATAGTCAAAATCGAATTTTGCTTCGGTTCATACAGACTTGTACGAACGGTCTCACTTCATGTCAATAATACTATTAATATTAAGAAGACGAAGAAAAGAATAAGAGAGTCCGAAAGAAAATCATTGCGTTCTTCTTTATTTCTTTGTCAATAGATAGACGAATATCGACGGAAAAGCTAAAGGGAAAAGAAGAAAAAAAACGAGAAAAAAACAGAAAGAGGAAAAAAAAATCAGAGAATAGAAACAAAATCGATCATTTCAATTTTCACAATACTATATAATAGACTGATTCTTTTCGCAAATCGCACCAACGACAGCGAACGGAAGCAAACTAAAAATGTCTTATTGAACCGGAGAAAACAGAGAGAGAGAAAGAGAGAACGGCTTTTCCATCGCTTCCTTATAGAATGTATGTAAAAGAGAAAAAAAGCGAAGGAAGTTACAAAAAGAAAAAAAGAAGAAGAACAAGAAAACCATCATCTATAAATCATCGACCGCTTGCATGCAGCAATGGCACTCATTGCTATCGTTCGGTTGTCGTCATTACGCTAAAGCAAAATGAGAGAAGAAAAAAAAAATTTCTATGTCAACAGATATTCAACATTCTTAAATGATGATTATTAAACAAGTCATATTATTATTATTATTATTTTCTAGCAATCGATTATGGTGAAGATCTCGATATTGATTATTTAACTGGTATTTATGAACGTATACGTGCAGAAGAATTTCGTCCTGATAGTGATCATGTAACACAAGTAGCTAAATTTGAACAAACACTTATTGGTAAAAAGCCAACATTAGTTGCATCACATCGTCGACTTGTATGTTATTGTCGTTTATATGAAATATATGATTTATCAAAACGTGAAAGACTTACAGCACATCAACGTGAAGTATTTCTTTTCAATGATTTACTTGTTGTAAGTTTCATATTTATTAAATACAAAAACAAAAGTTTGTTTTTATGATTTAGATTACAAAAATTTCCGGTAAAAAACGTCAACAATTACAATATCAATATCGTCAAGCATTTCGTTTATCCGGAATGAATTTATATTTATTTGAAACTACACGTAAGAAAAACTTCAAAATTTAGTATTTTATGATGAACTATAAAAGAAAAAAAATATTATTTCTAGATTATCAATATGGTATTCGTCTAGTACGTAAACCAGATATACATCAAACAAATTTAATAACATTTAATGCAAGAAATGAACATGATCGAACAAAATTTTGTGAAGATTTAAAAGAAGCTATTATGGAAATGGATGAAATGGAAGGTTTACGTATACAATCTGAACTTGATAAATTACGTGGTTCATGGAGTTCACTTGCAGATATATCAAATAATAATAATAGCAATACTACTAATAATAATGGAATTATTTCATCATTAATTGATTATCCAACAAATAAACGTGATAGACCATTATCAAGAACATTATCAAATTCATTACTTGATATGACATTAACAATGCCTGTTTCATCAATATGTAAGTAAAATGTACAATAGTATAAAAATTATTTATGTAAAATTCTTTTATTTTGTTTATGATAGTGAATCATCATAAAACAACGAATAATAATAATACTACTACTACTAATAATAATAATACATCGGATCTTTTGCCATGTCGAAATTCTCAATGTTCAGTTGATAGTGGAATGGTAAATAAAATAAAAATATTATTGATGAAATCGTGATCAGATCCTTTTCACAACCAAAAAGTGTCCATTCGACATGATTTTATGGTTGCTTTCAGGTTGTGGATAGGATGGATTACATATTCTTCTAACTTTTTCTTTTTTTTCGTTTTTTTTTCGATTAGTATTACTTATATTATTATGATGACATCTTGTTTTCTTTTTTAAGGTTTCATTGACAAATGAGTTTTCACCAAATAATGGATTCAATATGCGTTTAACAACAACTAAATAAACAAAATCGATATCTATTCTAATTGTGAATTAATTCTACAGATAAAATTTTTATATATTATTATATATACGTATTAAAGCTAGTCAGTCAAGTGTAAACAGTTGTTGTTTGTTGTTTTTTTTTTATATGTTCGAAATGAAGAATTTTTTGTATATGTTTAGAATTTTTTTTTTGTGTGTATGCACAGTTGTGAAATAATGAACAAGAGAAAAAAAGAACAATTGGTCATATTTAATGTGACTTTTTCCTTTTTTTTTTTTCTTCTTTGTTTTATTTAATGATGATTTGATTGCATAATCATAGAAAACCTTTGAAGATTTTCTTTAGCTTTTAATGTTAATAAATAATTTTCATTTTGAAGTTGTTCAAATTCATTTGATAAATTTATTAATTCATTTGATTGTCGATTATGTTGATTAATAATTAATATATGATTTGTTTGTTTAATTATTCTATCATGTTGAATTAGAAATTCTTGAATTTGTTTTGTTAATTTAATTAGTAATTCATGTCGTTGTTTAAGTTTTAAGGAATATTCATTCAATTGATATTTTGTATATCGATATTCATTTTTAAGATGATCAATTAAAGTTGATTTTTGATTCATACTTAATTGTATTGAAGTTAATAATTCCTTATAATCTATAATTAATTTCGATTTGAGAATAAATGGCACTATCTAAAGGAAAAATAAATTTATATTAGAAAAAAAAAATAGCTTTAGTTTGTTAAAGAACGAACTTTTTCTATAATATGTTTTATGGAAGGTTGATTTAGTAAATGATCAATTTGATTTCGTTTAACATTCATTTGTAAAAGACGTGTTTCAATCAATTCGATTGTATCAATAAAATTTTTATTAGTTCGAAGACATTCAATGATGATTGATAGTTCTTTAAAATGTTGATCAAATTTATTCAAATAATTTTGTATATTGTGAAAGTTTTTAATACATTGATGAAATTTTTGTAGAAATATATGATTATGTTCATCGATTGTTAAATTATCATTTTTCAAAACAAGATTTATTGTTTTTTGAGATGTATTTGAACATATTTTGTTTATTGGAATAGGTGTTGAAAGAATTTCAGTTGAATTTTCTGTTATTGGACTTAATAAACGATTAGGTAATGTACTATTTAGAGTAGAATATTCAAGTAAAGGTCGATCATGTTCATGGATAGATTCTGATATAAAAGGAATTTCTGACGTCATTTAAACGTTACTTCACTGTACGATGAATGAAAAGATAAAGAATACAATGGATCTTACATATGACGACATAGTAGAAAGATAAAGAATGGATTATGATATCATGAAAGAGGGAGAGAGATATGTATAGTTTGAACGGATATAAGAGCTAACGCATATATGTTCAAGTTTTTACAAGATTAAAAAAGTAAAATTGCTGGTAAAATTAGTTAATCCATAGAAAATATAAATGTTTTCAATGGAAGAGTAGTATATAGATTTAGCCAATTTTATACTATTGATATATACTCAACAATCGTTCTTGTTAGCTGATATATGTCATATATTTTTTATAATTAATTTTACATTTCTATTACTAATATAATAAAGGAACTTTGAAGTAACAATAAATTTTAACACAATTATTTAAGATCATATAATTGATTAATCCTTCTGCTTTGTTTTTTTATAGTTAGTATCGTTCATTTTATACGTTTCGTTTTTGCTAGTGAAACACGACTTATTAAACCAGTTCAATCACTAATCATAGATTAACATAGAAATCTCTTCAGATGTCTCCTTCCATTTTGAATGAGACTTTTTGTCTACATATACAACATAGTGTTCTAATAAAACCTCTAAAAGAATGATTTAACTTTATTGTTGAAATTTTATTCTAGAATTCCAAATTTTCGAATTTTTATCTATAACTTTGTCCATATAGAGAAATCACATAAAAATAATGCAGAGGTTTTCAACAAAATCTATTCAAGATGTCAAACTACTGAAAGCTTTTGAACTTTTTAATGATGAGTTCTTTATGTGCACAAAATTCCAAATGAAAATTCGATAATACAAATTTTCTGCAAGCCTGAACTCCTTTGAAGGTTTTGATTAGGATACTATGTAGTATATTTAGGCAGAAACTCATTGAAATAGGAAGGACACATCTGAAGAAATTCCCTCGTAAGGTTATAAAACCAATGTTGTTAAAAAGCTTAGTCGGATTTCTATTACTAGAAGAGACAGATATCTGCTGAATTTCGAGTACTCTATTTAATTATTGAAGTGTACTTGAGTACTTTCTCATGAACTAACACGGCATAACAAGATTATTATACAATGAAAGTAGATTTTGACGATTGGCTACGGAAGATTGTTGTTGACTTTTAAAAACTTTTGAATGATGTAAAATATTTCTCAATATTTTCCCATAGATTAATGTGCGTTATCAATCTTATTGTCATTGGACGCTAATGATGTTAACATTTTTGTAATAATAAGTGTCAGATATTTATCATACACTATCAATGACAAAGATAGTTTATATCAAAAAAAGAATAATATCTTGCTTCAAAATATGAATAATGTTTAATGAAACCCCCGCGAAACCAATGAAGTTAAGTACATTATTTGATCGATTTCTATTTGAAATAAAATCCATGCCAATACAGAATCATTTTAAACACTGTTGACAAATGAAAACCAAATAATGGATGTCCCATTATAAATGATCGGTTTTTTATTTATTTCTTTTCATCATGTAAGTACGTTTCTTTTAAAAACAAAATATACTACAAGATGTAGCGTGAGAAGCTCTACAATTTACATAAGATCGCTTATTTTGTAGTTGTACTTTTTGTGTTCAAAAGGGACAATTTTGACCGTGCGCAGAAAATAATATTTTGGTACAATACGGATTCACTTCTTTTGTTATTTCATCTTTTTATCACCTGATATGTCTTCGTAAGAAAAACAAAATCTACCATAAGATGTAGCGCAAACGGCTCTACAATCTACACAGTGAAGCGCATTGTAATTGTTTTGAAAAAAAAGCAAAATTCTGTGTGACCAATTTTGGCACGGTCGAAATTTGATCGCTCAAAATTTTGCCCATTTTGAAAACAACAAGTGCAACTATAAAATAAGCGATCTTATGTAAACTGTAGAACTTTTCAAGCTGCATCTTGTAGTATATTTTGTTTTTAAAAATAAACGTACTTGATGATGAAAAAAAGCAATACAAAAACCGACCATTTATTATGGGACACCCATTATTTCTATCAATACTTATTGTTTAAAACTATAGAACGGCAGAAGATTATCTTTTCGAACTCTACATTTTAGTTTATATTTTTATAACTTAATAGAACATTGAATCAGTAAACTTTTATTTCAAGAAATTCGAAATATGAAGTTTATCATTTTGTTGAAATACATATCTGATGGTCGCTATTATCAAAAACAATCATAAACGGTTTTTCATTATCGATAACAATTAGAAAGTCTCTACATTTATGATTATCAGTAAATGTTTTAATATGATGAGTCATACGTTAAAGTTGAGTGATTGAATCTTTGAACTGTTTAACACTGTTATTCGATATTGGATTGATCCAGATACTAACGAAATTTCCGGTGATACGCGATGGTGCAGATACTAATAGTATATATTCATTTTTCTCAAAGAGCTGATATTATTAGCGGAGTCAAGTATTGCATTAATTCAACGACGGATACATACTCGATATCATAATATTATACAGGACTATTTACGTATGAGCAAAAAAGTACTTGAAATGAAATATGAATTAAGATTACGTATGAATTATTAGGACGAATTGTACATCTTAAATATCTTTTTACTAATCTTTACTGGTCATTTTGTCTGTCATTACTAACAATGATTAATGTTAGGCATACGTCTGAGCTTGATTTTAGCTAGTAAACTAGTATTCAATTAACTAAATCTGATGCATATTTAAATAAGGTTCGATTTTGATTTGTTAATTCTTCGAATAGTCATTTTTTTGCATCGCCGATATCAAAATGTTCTTCTCTTTAGCTTTCTTTGTAGTTTGGAGAATATTTCATCAATACAATCTTCGATGTTCTGTTTTCATTTTTATATTATTTTTACCAAAGCTTTCTATACTTCTTATGAGGAAACTTTTGCAAATTGAAAATCACTTTTGAGTTGAGACTCTGTACCTAAAATAAACCCCGAAGGATATTGGTTTTCTTGAACTTTCCTACAAATTAGTAGCCATTTTATTGAAGTTTTAGCTTACAGCTCGATATGTTCAAAAGAATTGAATCAAGACAATTTGACCCAAAATCTTATCCATAGATAGATCTGCTTGTAACTAGAATGTCCTAGAAGTTTCAGCTCAAAGGAATGTTACTTTCACGAGATGTTGAATCCCCAAAACTCATTAATATCTCACGGAAGATTCGAGAATTTCATAGTTTTTGGAAATTCAGTATCTCGTCTAAGAGACATTCTAGTTAAAATTAGACTTATCAATAGGCAAGGTATCAAATCAAAATATTCTTATTCCATTCTTGTGGAAATATCATAGTAGAGACTAAAGTTTTAGTAACACGGTTATAACTCTATAAGGAAGTTCTATGGAGGACGCTTATTCTTCTGGCTTTTTACATCTAATTTGGGTCTTTCTATATACAGAGTCCCAGCTTAGAAACGATTTTTTAATATGGAATTGTTACCTCGTTCAATTTATCGCCAGCATTTAAATAAAAAAATATTAGCAAGGAAACTATCTGAACTAATACCCGTCGTTCAAGTTCATATTGGGACCAGAAATAGGATTCCGATGAGACTGGCAAAAGTCTATAAAGGCTTGTCTCTATGAGTTCTTGCAGGCAAGTTATGACAGGTTTACTGGCTTTTCTACTCATCTGTAGGTAGTCTCTGGAAAATTATATCATGGAAATTCGATCTCGAATTTCGCTTATAAATAAGTCTGATAACTCTTAGAATATCCTGATAGTTTTAGTCCTTCATCAAGATATAGAGTTTCCAAAAATAATTTGTTATCACAAACATGTCAAAAAAAGATCAAATTCAATTAAAAATACAATAACTTGACAAAGAAACATTCTTTGCAGCTGAACTTGTCAGAATATTCTAAAAATTATGAAGCTTATCTATAGAGAAAATTTTAGATCGAAAGTCCACTAAATTGGCCATCAATAAGCTCCAAAGGTTCACGGGGACAAACAGTTTTAAGTTTTTGTTAATCTCACCAAAACTTCCTTCTGGATTAAGTGTGAGTTGAAAAAGGTTGGTGTTAGTAGCGGTAGCCTCTTCGTCAAATAATGACGAAAAAATTCAACTGAATTTTTTTCTGTTGACATCAATTCGATAATGTGTTAAGTTACTAAGTTATTACAAGCCTTTGACTTGTTTCACTTAATGAAAAATTAGCATAGTAGTCATAATGAAATGACTTATGGTTTAACCTTGGAGCTCTACTATATTGATATCTAATATTCGAATATTGAGGAAAAAAAGAAAACTTCTTCGTGAATAATAATCAATCACTAATTATCGATGAGATTATATTGATATAGTATGTCAACACATCTCTTAATAAACTATCTAATTATCTAAGACAAGTTTTAATAATTGAGAAACATCTCTATTGTTCTATAGGTTTATCAATTCAATTGAAATTTATTGAAAATCTTATTTCTTAGATTATAATATAATTCTAGAATTTATTTTTGTTATTAAAATCTGCTGTAAGAATATTTCTAACTAGTTATATCATAATCATAGTTAACCTATAAAGTTCACAATATGGTGATATATGTAATTGTATTAATAAAGTACATATATTCTACCTGACTAAAAAAAGAACAGAAATTATTTCTATCATTACAATGATACTATTTCACTTGAATAACTTCAGTTGTTGACAAGTATTGAATCAGAGCGACACACATTGTTTATAGAAGATAAATCGTTATAACATTTATTTTTACTTCATCACTCAGTATCCTTGACAATATCTTTTCCTTTCTCTGCAATCTATATACAATCTTGCTTCAATATGCGCAATTGTCCTACAAAAAAATAGCTTTTTTTATCCGGCGGGGGTTTCGTGCATTTCTAGAATAAATATCAACTCAGAAATACTCTGATTCATTGCACTAATATATCTTTTTTTGCGTGATAAATACTTTCGAAGACAACTGATGCTCTAATATCATTGACT